GTCTCTGGAGTTCTCTCTGCATTTTCTTTTGCATGAAAATCATGGAAGTTTTCTCATACTATTTCATCATTGATTTTGCTCTGCAAACAGATTGGAAAGCACGTGCAGATGTTGCAAAGCTCTTGAAGCACCTAAAGAAGGAACTGACTTTACTTGTTGTTAGTCATGACCTAAGGTATGCTCTTTTTCGTCTTTCTCTTTGCTTGTGTTTGTGATTTTACTCAGGTTCTTTCCCCTCATGAAAAGTATGGGAAACTGAATCAGCGCTTTCTCTGCTCAAATTGATGTTTGAAATTTTGTTATACAATCCTTTCCCGCAAATCCATTTTTCAAGTCAGGCTCTCGTAACATTAACTGCTACTGTTTTTTTTTCTTCTGTGCCTTTTTTGTATGAACTTTGCTGCAGAGAGTTAGCAGCCTTGGTCGATCAGTCATGGAGAATGGAAACAGGTGGTGTTCTTCTTGCAGAACGTCCACCGGTTTAGTTCAGCATTTGCTATTGCAGAAGGTCGAGACCAGGTTTGGCTCGGATGCTTCTAATATTTTCGGGTATTCTTGCAAGAAAGTGATATAGGCTCCTACCCAGGCTTATGTTTAAATTTGCATGAGATTTTGAGCTAGCTACTCATCCTCTATGTTGGATTTCTATATAAGTTCTTGTGGATAGGAGATAATGTAATTTTAGGGGTTATCAGTTGAGAGAAAAATAGTGTCTCTCCTATGAGATATGAACATATAACTGGATTGAAATCAATGGTTACAAGAATGCATTCTCTTGATTTAAGTGCTTTAAAAAGTGAATATTAGATATCATGGTGCAGTTACAACACCCTGTAATATTTATTATCACACAGAGGGACATAGTAAACATTCCCAGTAAGTCTTGGACACATTTTTCTTAATCACACCACACGATTCACACATGCATTAGATGAAATAAGACACTCACATTTCTTAATTTATGTGTTTCTCCTGATCCCTTTGCTACAGCTCCAACACGAAGTCTGCAAAACAAATATGGATTATTATCTGGTTCATCACAAGCAGGGCACTTGTGCATGCCTAAACCCCAATGTAATAGAAAGCATTATTTTTCGAATAAAGATCCTACATAAATTCAGATCACATTCTTCCTTTGAATTAGATGGGCTTATGCGAATATATCTATTAAATGCATATAATGCTCGACTTACAGTCTTCGTCTGTTTTGATCCAGTGTTCTCCGTTGCTAGCTGAGCGAGAATTTCTTAGCTCATACTGGATCCATCTTTTACTTGTCTCGTTACAGGGGTTCTCAGACATTAACCCAATCGAACTTGCTTCACTGTATTTTGGATTTTCCATCCTGCTGTATATTTCACTTTCCATCATTGAGTCTTCTGGATGTATTTTCCTATGGAAAACTTGTACCATCTGCATTCCTCAGAATAAATCAAGTTTGTTAGGAGCAACATTTCATTGGAGAATGATATCTAATTCTACAAATGTACTATAAAAGTGTTATCAAAAGTAAGGGATAAATCATCTGAAGTTTGGTGTATGATTCGAGATGTAGCATGTATCATGCAGGCGATTTAGGTAATAAGTTTTGACAAAGAGGAGCAGAACACCTCACCTTTTGGAACTTCTTCTTTTTTGAAGCCACTTCAGTTTTACCACTGGCAGAGCTCCTTGAGGACGGGTGCAGCTTTTTAAGTACCTTCTTCACAAGATGCTTTGCAGACTTGTGAGTTGAACTGGTTTGGTTATTTTTCTTCCCATATTTGGTTTCTGGCTGTGTATCCTGCATTTCTATTTTTCGAAACAGGTCTCCAAGTGATGCCCTTTCCTTCTTGTCTGCAATCTTTGTTTCTGGGAGTTCGATTAGAGAACCAAAAAGATACTCTTGGAGCGGGAACTTCATTGGCTGACTATCTTCTTCGGCATCTAGAGCCTCAATGGCCTCAATGGTGGATGCGATAGTGTTAGTGTCGCTGTTCCTTCCTGATGGTTGGTTGTGTCCTTCTTTAGCTTCAGCCTCAAGGAACTTCTCCAATTCATTGCTAATGAGCTTCAAGTCATTCTCTGTCACATCTGCATAATCTTTTCCGGGGTCCTCAGAGGACATGCCGAATGTCGGTGTTGCTGGTTCATCCAGAAGTGTTTCTCCACCAAGGGTTCCAATGGCAAGAAATCCATGAAAAAAATCACTGTTTCTGTGATCCTTGAAGATTTCTTCTGTATTTTCCATGGGTCCAGCGAAGGAGCGGTCCTGGAACAGGTTAAGCTGTTTTCTGACTCCAGTATTGTGTCTGGGGCCAGCACATGCTGTGGGGTAAGCATCTTGGCTATCAAGGGATTGATGAGCTGAGAGGAAATAGCTGTTACCTGAAATGGAATTTCATGTGAAGAGATGAATTGTTTAATTTTTAGAAAAGTAAAAACAGCTACTCGGTGGTTTGGAAAAAGATGCATTTGCTGAGGAAATAGGGAAAATGTCGTCGAGTTGTTACTACAGACAGGTGGAGGCATGACGATGATAAAATCTCTTGCTAGGGAGAGATCTGGTTTGGCTGCTATCACTCATGAATTCAACGCACAAGACAAGGTTAGTGACAAGCATATTGAGTTGGAGAGCTTTTTTTTTTCAGCTAGCTGACTCGAATTATAATGCTTTACTCACGAGCACATGACCATAGTCTTTACTCTTTTATCAGGTCAGCGATTTAATTTTTTAGATATGGATGTTGAAGTAGTGAGATAATTGCGCGGCCCTGAATTTTTTGCTAAGTCCTATTGCTATTCTCCTAGAATTCAAACACTGCTTCCTATTTTTGTTCCCACATATTTGACAGGAAAAGAAGCATCAGAGAAGTACGGTCATATTACCAGGTGTAGCCTCTTTCAGTGGCTCTTTGTTATTCTCCCGGAACTTATGATGCACCCAGCCCCAAAACTGCCAGAAAATAAGCTTTGGTAAGTTTCAGCTACAAGTTAGTGAAATTTTTTTGGGTGGATGTAGAACCTACCTTCATTTTTCTTACTTCAGTTTTCACACAATACTAGAGAAGAAAGTGACTTTTATAGAAAATCATGATTGCTTGATAGCTCTTCATATAGCAGTGAATTGGTTGCTAACAGTGTACCTCAAGTCTTTTAGGTTGATGACAGTGGAGACCAACACCAAGAAAGCTACAAAATTTTGGTTGGCCATTCTCTTTCAAGATCACATCAAGAACAAGTTGGAGGGCCATTACAGACATGAGCGTACTGGTGTGGTTACATGACGCGTAAATTTAGTCGTGGAGTAGCCTATCCATAAATTACATTCATCGATCATCTCAGGTATTTACTATTTTATCTTGATTTGAGTTTCTATATCATAAAACTTTGTGGATATTATTATGTGGCGTTCATGAGCCGTTAATATTAAATTTACAAGTCATTTGCAAATAAAGCATGCGTAAATAGTGGCTGCAAAATCAATTTTTTTCGCTTTGTGTTGTTTAGACCTTGATTTTTAGACATTCTTTCCTGCAAATTGCAATAAAATGATCCATCCATCTCTTGTACGATAGAAGAAAGTATGCAATTTGTATGAAATCTACTTACATAGCTGGATGGTACAAACTCATTCTGTGTTGGTTATAGAAATAATGTAAACTTTGTTTTTACACTGGTGCTGCATTGCATAGAAATTAATTTTAGTTTTATTTGAAACAACGATCAATGCTGGCTCCTTTGGTCACTTAGAATGATTGAGGCTGCATTATGTGGAAATAATATCCAGAAAAGCGTACTGCGTTGTTGACCTGGCTGTCTCCGACAAGAAGAAAATGCATTCAGATGATGACCATCCTGCACAAAAGTGAAGAAAGTGTGCTTTTTCCAGGAAGCATATGGGGAGCTCCGTGACAAAAAAAAACGAAGGCTTTAGCGCAGTTGATTCAGACAAGCGAAGCTGTCCACGACATCAGGTACTGTTGTTTCCCTTCATTGTTCTTTTCCATTCTTAATACAAAGAACTCGTAGTTTTATGGTTTTGTTAATCATCCTACACACCCGTTAACTTAGCTGTAGAAACACATCGTTTTGTTCTGGACTTTTGGTAGAGCACAGCTGCACAAGTAGGAACTTGTTAGTGGGAACAAGGATTCGAACCGTGAAAACGTAGGAGTCTACGTGAAACACGAATCTGACAATGCAG